TATGTGACCTCCACAATGTTTAAACAAAAAGGTAGCCCTACATCTGAAGTAGAAAGATTTCACATAAAAATTCGGATTTCTGGATTCTCAACACTGGACTTGTATTCCCATATGGCAACAGTCAGTGGGAGGTGAATAGTGGCTGCCCCTTTAGATGGGATATACCATCTAGTTTACCCCAGTCTTTTCCCTACATTTATGTTCCCTGCCTGGGCCCTGTTGGTCAGTGGTCTTCAGCTTTGTTTGCACATTAGAATCCATGGAGAACTTTATAAGAAATACCTGATTGAATAGTCTGGGGTGAGACTCAGGTACTGCCGTATTTTTGCCCTCCTCCCGCCCCCTGCTCTAAGGTGACTCTGATGTGCAGCCAGGGCAGAGAATCACTGCTATAAATCACTTGAGTTTGGAACTTCTGGTCTAGACCATATGCCTTGAGTCCCAGCTGTTCCACTTGCTCTGCCTCACTGGCCAGGAGGTGTTGGTTGGTATAGAGTATTTATCTGGCCTTGACCTCTGTGCACAGACGACTTTGAGAGACTCTATCCATTTGAGGCTTTGAGGGAGGGGCAATGACTGTGAGAAGGGGTATCCAATGTCTCGGCCCCTGGCCATCTTTTAATCTCTTTCCACTAGAGACATGACTAAAATACTCTGTTCAGCTCTGAGACCATTTCTCAGCTTTCCCTTGGATCTGCCCTCCTCCAAGTCTGGCCCCAGTGGGCTAAAAGCCTGGAAGCTAAGGTCACCTTCTTGTTTATGTGTTCACCTTCTCTCTCCACTGGTAGCCCCAAGTCTCCTATTTCTTAAGTGGAGCAGGGTCAGCATTACTGATATGTAGATAAGGTGGCTACCCTCCTAATTTCCCCCATGCCTGAAGTTCTACCTTTGGAGACATAATCCGTTCACCTATGGCTCTGATCTCCTTCAGCAATTAAGAGCTTATCAATCATTCACACACATCCACACGATTGATCTTTTCTAAGCTGTTTTCCTGGAGATCTGATATGTGGTGTACATCCAGCTGGCTGAAGCTTTAACAAAGCCCAGATTAGAAGCACACATTGGGTGGGGGTTGCTGTTGGTATTGTGGGCTCCTGAGGGGCCCATTAGTGGCACAACTGGGGTCACCCAAGGGATAGTTGTGGAGGAAGAATAGCTGCCCTTCCCGATCCATTCCCTGCCCCCATTCCACTTGCCTCCCACGATCTTGGTTGTCTGGGAGAAGGTCTGCACGTGGGTGGTGGAGCTGGAGAACTCCATGGACACGTGCTCCTGCAGCATCTGCTGGCTGTGAATGGTTGTCATGGTGACAGCAGGCGTGGGCACTCACCTGAGAGACTGGGGAGAGGATGAGGCCATGAAGGACAAGACAGGGAGTAGGAGGGAGATTCAGAGATGTTATGTGTGTGTTCAGACATAAGAGGAGATGGAAGCACACAGGAGAGGGCCAGGAGAGCAGTCAAGCTCTCTTTTCTTCATTTCTTAGCTCCCTTTTCCTGGTTAGTTACCAGACCCAATAGTCCTGTCCTCTCACTGAGCAACTCCAAACTATTCCAAGGTCTCAGAGGGAGGGGTTATAGGGCTTAGACTTACCCAGCCAACCAAGTAAGGCATGGAGGGAGTTGAGGATACCTATTGATAGCTACATGGCACTAAGGAGGCAGTGCTGGATGTTTCATCAGGAGGGAATGCAGTCAGACCTAAGAAAGAACTTCCTGACTAAGACATACTGGAGTGGGCCTTAGAAGGAAGCTGTGGCTCTTATTCCTGGGCCCTGGGGCACCCGGATGCTAAAACAGATGACAAAACGTTGCTACAGTTCTGCTTGTGTTTGCGACATGGTAAAGGCAAAGGTTTAGTTTTTCTTACATTTTTCTTTGAACTGGTAATTCAATCACATAAAGAATAAAACAATATAAAAATCCATATGGAGAGGCTCCCACCCACTCCTGTGTCTGTCTATCTTACAACCTTCCCCATTGCAATAGGTAGCCCGTCTCTAGGCTCCTTCTAGACCTCCATCATGCAAATAGGAAAACTCATACGTTCTTGTCATCTTCCTTTTTTTTAGGTAGCCCATTATACACACTATTCTGACCCTTTCTTTTTTCATTTAATATGTCTTGGAGATTTTTTCCATGCCAGATGATAGAGTTTCCTCATTCCTATTCAGAGTACCATGTTATCTCAATGAATGGATGTCCCTCCATGTTGTATTTAACCAGCATTGCGGTTTTTTTTTGGTGCGATCTCGGCTCACTGCAACCTCCTCCTCCCAAATTCAAGTGATTCTCCGGCCTCAGCCTCCCCAGCAGCTGGGATTACAGGTGTGTGCCACCATGCCCAGCTAATTTTTGTATTTTCAGTAGAGACAGAGTTTCACCTTGTTGGCCAGGCTGGTCTTGAACTCCTGACCTCAATTGATCCACCTGCCTTGGCCTCCCAAAGGGCTAGGATTACAGGTGTGAGTCACAGCGTCTGGCCAGCATTGCAGTTTTTTTGTTTTTGTTTTTTTTGAGATGAAGTCTTGCTCTGTTGCCCAGGCTGGAGTGCAGTGGCGCGACCTTGGCTAACCACAACCTCCGCCTCCTGGGTTCAAGCAATTCTCCTGCCTCAGCCTCCCAAGTAGCTGGGACTACAGGCACGCACCACCATGCCTGGCTAATTTTTGTATTTTTAGTACAGATGGGGTTTCACTATGTTGGCCAGGCTGGTCTCCAATTCCTGACCTCATGATCTGCCCAACTCAGCCTCTCAAAGTGCAAGGATTACAGGTGTGAGCCACCACGCCTGGCCCAGCATTGCAGTTTTTAAAGCCCTATTTTGTATATGAGGAATCTGATGTCTGAAAGAAATGACCCTGTCTAAGGTCACTCAGACTAGACTCCTAGCTCTTGACTCCAGTCCGGTGGTGTCCCAGAGGGCTCCAAAGCCTTCTTTAAACCAGGTAGTTAGGGGTTAAACTCTACTTCCTCCCTCCACCCCCTAATATATCTCTGCCTGGGCTGCTTCTACCTTTGGGTTCTGAGACTTTCCCCCGTCCCTATTCCTGCTCTCTACCCTATAGTCCCCTCTGGGCTCAGAAGGTGGTCAGCTTTGTCCCCTTCCTGAGGAGGAGGGGAGACTTACCTTCAGCACTGACCAGTCCCTCCCAAAATTCGAATGCTGCATCCACGGCTTTGGAGGCTCAGCTAGTGCCTGGACTATATGGTGGCCCGTCTCCTTCTTCCTTTGCCCCAACAGTGAGGCTACCAGTGTCATCTGTTCCTTAAATGTCTGGCCCCCTGGGGGTGATTCCTTATTCAGGCTCTGCAGCTGTCTCAGCTAGATGGCACACTGCTTGGTTGTGGGGGGAGGGGAGAAGAGGGAGGGCAGTGGAGAAGGGAGGTGGGAAGCAAAGCTGGATCCAGGCTGGGGGAAACACTGAAGGCCAGGCAGGAAGGAGGCTGAGGGTGGCAGTCCAGTGGTACTTTTTTTGTTCCCTTGTGGTACAGGTTTTGGCTCTCACTGCTGCTGGGGACCTCTCCGAGCTGAGGGGCTCAGGATAGTGTGTGTGCATGGGCACACACTCAGGTACATGTGCATGCATAGTCCAGCAGGGCTCAGGGAGCAAAGCAACAGGTCTGTATTTTCCAGGGACTGGGACGCGGTGAACTGGGGAGGGCCTCTGGGATCTGCTGCTTTGCTACACAAATCCAGGGGGTGCCATTCATGTTGCACTCCTATGTGTGGTTCATACACAGCCTGAGTATCTTTACAAGGCCACCCTGGGGAAGGACAGGGAAATGTTAGCTCTCCTTCTTCCCACTTCAACAGCCCCATCTCCCTAATCTGGGTAGAAGAGTAGGAGGGCCCATCCTCTGGGGGTTGTGGGGAGGTCTCTACTCTTGAGAGTGACTGGAGAGTATGGCCACCTCTTCTCAAGGACCTCCATCTGGGCTGCTTCAGCCACCTGTTGTTTTCTTTTCTTTTTTCTTTTGAGATGGAGTCACTCTCTGTCACCCAGGCTGGATGCAGTGGCGCAATCTTGGCTCACTGCAACCTCCGCCTCCCAGGTTCAAGCAATTCTCCTGCCTCAGCCTCCTGAGTAGCTGGGATTACAGGCGTGTACCACTATATGCCTGGCTAATTTTTGTATTTTTAGTAGAGATGGGGTTTCACCATGTTGGTCAGGCTGATCTCAAACTCCTGACCTCATGATCTGCCCCCCTCAGCCTTCCAAAGTGTTGGGATTATAGGTGTGAGCCACTGTGTCCAGCCCACCCTGGACAGATTTTCTCATCATCTGTAGCACACCCCACATGCCTGGACCCTGGATCCCACCCAAGGTTCTGGCATCTTGTAAGGACTTGTTGGTCAGCACCCTTGCTCTGGACCCCTCCTTCTGCCCTGGGGTGACCCCCACCTGCCAGCAGTGGCATCATGGCTACTTTTGCTCCATCCCAGGGGGGCAGGGGACAAGAATAGAGCAGGAGTATCCAGGATGGCTCAGGATCTCAGCCCACATGCAGATTCCCTGGGCCCCTTGGGAGAAGCTACTCTGAGCCCAGGCCTTACAAGGGAAATTACTGGGCTGCAGCTGCTGTTGGGACCTGTGGAGCCCACAAGGGATAAGTGTTTGGCCAACAGGAAGGGGCCTGGGTGTGACCTGAATGTCTACTTGCTCTAGCCTTGGCTTCTCTGGCACGTCTGTTGGAATTGGTGACCTGCCAGCCACTGTGCCTTCCTTGGAAGCCTTCCACACCTGTCCTTGAGGCTCCACACCTGGCCCAGAGCATCTGTCAGGGCCAGGGCTGAGGCTGTGTGAGAATCCTGCAGAATGTTCCCAGTTTGGCTTTACAAATTTGGACTCGCTCCATACTCCCAGTCTCCACGAGGGGCTCCAGTGAGCAGAAGGGCCAAGCTCTCTGTGTGCTCATGCTGGGGAGGGGCACAAAGACCCAGGTACAGGAAGGCAGGCAGTGGAGGGGAGAGGCAAATCACACAGACCCAGGTGGTTAGTTTTGCTCAAAATGCTCCGTTTATTGCTCTATTCAATGACCACGAGCGAATTATAAAAAGACACCAAATGTCTCTGTCTGCCGTGGGATAAATATTTAAAGTCAGCAATAAAAACACGTGGCTCCAAGATAACACACGTTGCCAGAGTCATGCATGGCCTCCTGGTGGGCTCTCAACACACGCATGGACATGGGAACACACGCAGAGCGACACGCAGTGAGACTTCTGGGAAGGCTTTCCCACAGTGACACGAAAAATGTCTCACACAGATCTGGGGCTGAGTCCCCACCCAAACCTTGAGCTCCCCTCCCCTCCCCAACAGGGCCCAGATCCTCTGGGTTCTCCACGCCCCATCTGCCCCCTTCCTCGCCAGTGCCTCCCAGGCTGGGCACCCTCCTGAGGGCATCTGACACCCAGAGGCCACCCTGGCTGTGATGCCCACTCCAACCTAGAGACCTCTCCCTCAGCTGGAACTCTGGTAGCCCTCCGGAGCTCCCCATGCCTAACTCCCAGTCATCTGCCTTTTGGGAGAAGTGCGGGTGAGGCCAAGGCAGGCAAGTCCGCCCAGGTTGCTTAGGGGCTGGAGCTCATTACTCCTTCCTGGCCGAGGAGACACAGTGTCCGGTACAGACAGCAGAGATGGACGGACAGACAGAACACACTGCAGCAGGACACAGAGTGTGGCACGGAAACGTTCTGGATCAGGTACTGATGGGACCATCGTTAAAAACTGGGGCCCGGGGTCTGTGTGGTGTGGATCAGGCCCTGGGGCCCCAGGCCCGGCCTGGCATGTCCCTCCCCGACCCTGCCCCCACTCCTCAATATGTACAGTAGGAAGAGCAATGCTGGAGGGTAGGGGCCAGGCCAGGCTGACAGAGAGGACAGAGGGAGCTGACTGAAGGGGAGGAAGCGGGGAGCAGGCCCAGGACCCAAGGCGGGGCCCTGGGTGAGGGCCGAGACTCAGGCTGGGCAGTGCCCAGAGAACCTTGCAGGAGAAGCGCAGTCATTCGGGGGACTGGTGGGACAGCTGCTTTTCGTAGAGGCTCATGACGTGGTGCACAAACTGGTACTGCTCGCATGTCTGGATCATGCCGCCCCTGCCCGGCAGAGATGCACAGTGGGGGCAGGGTCGTGGAGGGATGGGCTGTGGGAGGGTGCCTCAAAAGCCACGGAGCAGCCATCACTTGCCAGGCCTTGTCCTTGTGCATCTTGGAGAGACCAACCCTTGCCAACCATTACCCTCTAACCCTTCCTATCAGGGACACAGATGACATGTCCTACCGCTTTCAGCCTCTATCCTTTTGTCCACCAGCTCTGCTTTTCTTCATCCAGCCTCTTCATGGATGAAGCAGAGCCTCTTCTCTGCTTCCCTCTTCATCCAGCCCCCCACTATCTGGATCCTGCCTCTCTACCCAGCTGTCCTCCCTACTCCTTGTCTGCCCATCAGTCCATGCCAGTGTTTTCCATCTGCCCCTCGCCCCCCCATGCACATGTGGGTCTCTCCCTCTACCCCCTCGAGGCTCTAGCGGCCCTGTGTGCCCAGCCCCCACCCGTGGGCTGACCTGTCCTGACGGAGCTGGCACGTGGTCTTCAGGATGTCCACCACACCCTCCTGCCGCAGCTGCTGGCAGCAGATGCTGGTGGCAATGAAGCAGCCGGTCCTCCCAATCCCTGCACTGAGGGCCGAGGGGACCGGTGGGGTGAGGGGCAGGGCAGCCCAGTGGGTGGGGGGCTGCCCCGCTCCAGTGGCTGGCTGGGAGGACCCACCTGCAGTGGACGATGATGGGGGCACAGTGGGGCCCCTCCTGCTGGGTTGCCTCCTCCACCTCCCGCACCAGGTGCAGGAGTGGGGGGGCCCGGTCTGGGGTCTTCTGGTCGGGCCAGGATGTGAACCAGTAATGCTTCAGGCCTCGCTCCTCAGTCCCACTCTGTCGAGGAGACAGAGGCCCACCCCGGGTATGTGTGAACTCCTTCAGCTCACAAACCAGCCCAGAGATAGAGATGGGATGGGAGAAAGAAGAACACAGGAAGCACACAGAGAGTGGAACCCCTTAACCCTTCCATCTAGGCCATATTGCCCAGTGGCATCAGACAGAGACCCAAAGCCAGCTCGGTTTTGGCGGTTGGTCAGTGGTGTTGGCGTGGATCTTGTCTTTGGTCCTGCCCCAACAACTTCAGGATCATCCAAGAGGGGCCAAGAGCCCCTTCTCCAATTTATTACTGTCTCCGGGGCTCCTTATCTTAACAAATGGTCCCCCAGTCATCCCTTTGTCACATAACCCAGCCCCAGGACTCTTCTTCTCTTGCTGTGCCTCGCCTGCGTGACTCGCCTCTATCTTAGTGCTGCAATTAGTGCTGTAAGTTTTACCACCTCTTCACACTCCCCGCTTTACTGCCACCTTGACCTTTATCATTGCTCGAGTGTGGGAGATTTCTGCCTCATCCCCAACTGTCTCAGATCCACAGAGTCAAAATAGTCTGTGTACAACACACTTCTGGACATGCTGCTCTCCTGCTGCAAACACATGGCTTTGGACTGAATGTGTGTGTCCCCCTAAGTTCACATGTTGTAACCAAACCCCAATATGGTGGTATTTGAAGGGAGGGCCTCTGAGGTGATTAAGTCATGAGAACGGAGCCCTCACAAATGGGATCAGTGCTCTTACAAAAGGGGCCCCAATGAGCTTCCACTCCTTCTGCCATGTGAGGACATGACCCTGGAATTGGGTCCTCACCAGGGTCATGGTGCCTTGATCTTGGACTTCCCAGCCTCCAGAACTGTGAAAAATAAACCTGTTGCTTACAAGCTCCCTGGTCTATGGTATTTTGTTATAGCAGCCTGAGCAGACCACAACATCCTTCCATGTCTCTCACTGCTCTCAGAATAAGACCTACTCTTCTCAGTCCTTCGCCTGGCTAGGAAGACAACTGCTACAGGGCCTGCCCTTCCAGACACACCTCCTGCTCCTATGTACTTGTACTCAATGCTCTCACACTCCGAAAGGTTTGTAGGTAAAATCTCAGCAGCACATGCAAACATATGTGCACACACACATGCACACAAGTGTTCCATCTTCCATGTCCTTCGTTTTTTTTCTCACTGGGAATGCTCTCCTGACTTGTTTGCCCCTGGTCAACTCTTACTTATCCTTCAAGATCCCATTCGGCACCACCACTTACAGGAGGATCTCCCTGAGCACATTAGCTGGCAGAGTGTCCTTCTTTTATACATATATATACACATACACACCTATATATATATATATTTATATTTTATATATATGTATTTTATATATTTATACTTTATATATATTATATATAGGTATATATAGGATGTGTATATCATATATACATATGATATAGATCCTATATTCATCCAATTTAACATATGACATACATATCCTATATTCTATATACCTATCTCTAGCTCAGTACTGACCATCTTATACATGCTTCTCGAGGAAAGAGTCCAAGCTTTGAGAAGCTCTGTGTTCACAGTACCCAACCCAGAACCAAGCTCAGGCCAGGTATTTGTAATGTCTTATGGACAAAAGTAAATTCCCTCATACTCCAAGACGACCCGGTTTTTCCCTCATCATCTCCATGGCATTGAGAAGGTGGGCAGCCCTGCCTCATCTCAGCCTGTCTTTCTGTGGAATTTCTACTCAGGAAGCCATTTGCTCAGGTCCTGGGTTACCTGGCTGTGACAGCGACCACTACCTCTGTTCTTGACTTCCTGGCCCTTCATGCCCTCCAACAAGACCTGGATCTTAGAGCTGCTTGGGGGGGGGGGGTGGGGGGCACTGCTCTTGGGGGCTGAGATGCTTCGACACCCTACCTAGCCCCTATCCAGTGGGAGAGGGAGCAGCTCAGAGGGCCAAGTCTCCGGTCTTGTGCTCAGTAACCCCTGTGGCTGTCAGCATCAGTGAACCTCCTTGGCTGCTCCTGGATAGGGCATCAGCTTCCTGGCGCCTGGCTCGCCTCTTCCAGCCTTCCCTAAACATGGGTCTTATTTCTCACAAGCAGAATCCACTAATCCCGATTTCAAAGGAACAGTCTCCTCTATTATGTTGATCCTGGAAGAAGCACAACTTCAGGGTGGGAGGATACCTTCCCCCACTCTTCTGGGCTGTTTTGTATTGCTCATATTTTGTGTGTCTTCCTTTTTCTTGCTGTTTTCTGTAACCACAGCCTCCCTATACAACCCCAAAGCAGCAAAGAGTGCCTGCCCTCTTGTGGACAGATTGGGCACTACAGGCCAGAAGCCCAGCATCCCAGGTGAAGAGATGTTTCTAGGAAGGATCTCAAAGTCATGATGAACCCTCAATTATAAAGACAGTGCTGGAGGTTGCTGAAGTCCCCTCATCCGGACAGTCCTGGCCTTGGGTACATTTGAAGCATAGCTAGAAGGCATTATGAATGACAGAGTAGAAAGAGAGAGGAGCCCAACAGCACGAAATACAACTGAGGACTGGGAAATGCAAGGGGTTTGATTCTACCTCTGGCCCCCAAGTCCTTCACCTCTCACTCATCCATAATTATCAGAAAATCTGGGAGTGACACTGGCTTTTAGGTCAGTTACAGTGGACTTTGGGGACCTGTTCTCTGTGGAGTCCCCAGTTAAGCCCCTACACTCATCCTCAGCTTCGCCCAGCCCTGCCCCAGGCCTCACCTTGAGGGAGATGAGTCGCAGCCGGTAATCCTCCGTGTGAATGACTTTCCGCACAGTGATCTCAACATCGTCGTACACCACCTGCTCCTCTGGCCAATACTCGGTGCATTTCTGTAGGGGCCCAGATCAGGCTGCCATACAATCCTGGTCCCTTCCCACACTCTCCCCAGCACTCGCCAGGGCCAGCGGAGAGATACACAAGGGCAACAGGGTTGCTGCTACAGAGCGTGGGGTTCAAATCTCAGCTGCAAACTCTATAAGCTACTTCCCCTTCCTGAGCCTCCGTTTCTTCCTCTGGAAAACAGAAGTGCTACCATCTGAAGGACTTTCATGGAGATTCAGTTAAATGGGCCAGGAGTACAGGAGTAGCCAACATCTGTCCCGGCAGGCTGGGAGGCAGCAGAGTGCTGTGTTTGAGGTCACAGGCATCGGAAGTGGAAAGGCCACCTCCAGGCATGCCTCTATCTGTGAGGCTGGGGGCAAACGACTTAACCTCACCAAGCCTCGCATCTCCTCATCTTGGCAGCAGAGTGAACACCGCCAACCTTGTGAGATTGTCATAAAGATTAATCTGAGAACAAGACACTTAGTGTAGGGCGCAATGTGGCAGGCACTCGGAATGGGGATGGGGGTCCCTACCTCGTTCATCTCCTCGATGTTGGTGATCATGACAATGATGGGCGTGTGCTCCTGCCACACCATGCGCCAGAAGTCGGCGACCGTGCTGACGATGGGTCCCTGAGTGGCGATGTACACCTTCTCCTCCCCACCGTAGCCCTGCGGCCAGCCAAGTCCAGGCTGTCAGGGTCAGAGGAAGTGCTCCCAGGACCCCATCCCCACACTCAGGCTCTTCCCAGAAGCTGGCAGGAGTCAGACTGGTGTAGGGACAAGGCTGGAGGATGGATCCCATCGACTCAAGCCTCCCCTTCAGCAAGAGGCTGTCAGGGTGGGAATACGTACCCGGATGTAGTTGGCATTGATGTAGGAACTCAGGGGGTCGTCAGGGTCTGGTGAGGTCAGACACACTCTGCTGTGAGGGTCTGGGGTGGTAGGAGACAAGTAAGGCTGGAAGCTGGGCCCTCTGGGGCAGGGCCCACCTTCTCTGGCCTATTCCAGGATACCCATATTTCTTGTGTGACCTTAGCAGTTCTTCCTTTCCTTGCCCAGCAGCAAAACATTCACCCATTCATGGTTCATTTTGCAGGTGAGGACTCAGGATAAGGAGGAGGGTGGAGACAGAGAGGTGTCCCCGGGTCTCCACCTCTGTCTCTATCCTGAGCCTGTGCCCCTTAAGTTGCCCTATACTCACTGCGTCTTAGCTTCTGGAGAGGAGACAGCTAAGTCAACAATAGAATTACCTAGGGAAATTTCTGTACAGATATTGGACAGCAAGAGACAGCTAGCTTGAGTACACACTGTCATTGACTTGCTGTGTAGGCTTGTAAAACACATAGCCTTTCTAAGCCCCAGTTTTCCTATCTGTCAAGTGGAGGCAAAGATGTCTACTTCCTTGGGCTGCTGGGAAGACAAATGAGAAAAAAGAAGTGAAAGTTCTGTATAAACGGTAAAGTGCTTTATAAATATAAAGGGTTGTTAAGATGTGGGATAGAAAGTTGAGGGAGGGTATTAAGATGAAAACGATAGTCTCCCCTATCTGAAATAAGACTGGAGGGTCTTAGCCTCATGTGCACATGTGCAAAAAGGGTTTTTTTTCCTTTCAATTTATTCACATGTCAAATCCCATAGTAAAAGGGGCTCTCTCTGTCACTCAGGCTGGAGTGCAGTGGCATGATCATGGCTCGCTGCTGCCTCTAACTCCTGGGCCCAAGTGATCCTTCTGCTTCAACCTCCTGAGTAAGCAGGACTACAGCCATGTGCCACTGCACCTGGCTAAATTATTATTATTATTTTTTGGGTAGAGATGAGGTCTTGCTATGTTGACTAGGCTGGTCTCCCATTCCTGGCTCAAGTGATCCTCCTACCTCGGCCTCTCAATGTGCTGGGGTTATAGGCATGAGCCACTGTGCCCAGCCCCCACCCTGCTCTTCTTCCTGAAGTAGATTTTGTTTTGTTCCAGCTAGAACCTCCCTGCATTGACTATTCGGTCAGTCTGCAGAGGCCGAGACTGAGGTTGTATGGGCTAAGGGGGAAGCTGGCTGGAGGCCCAGAGTCCTGGGTTCTGGTTTAGTTTTGTCATCAGCCCACTTGTCCAGGACTCAGTTTACTTCCTGTAATAGGGAGGACTGCACTAAAGACTTCCAGTGTGCATATTAGGAGGCTCTCACAGGCAGTAGAGGGGAGTCATTAAGAGTCTACACCACTGAGCCAGAGAGGCTAGGTTCAAATCCTGATCCTGACTTACTAGCAGTGTCAACATGGACAATTTACTTCATCTCCCTGTGCCTTATCTGTAACCTGGGGATGGTCACTCCACGGTGACCTTGCTTATCTTGTAAAGAAGTTAACTTTAACAACTAGAGTCCTTATACCAGTAACTAGGACCAACACAAAGTATCAGCTGCTGTTATTACTGCATTATTACAAGTTCCACAGGTTAAAGGATAAAAAGAAGGATTCTAAACCTGGTAGGAGAACCTGGGGAGGTAAAGGGCACAAGCCTTGCCTCTTTAGCCCAACCCCACTGTCTAAGTTTTTGGCAGGTGATTTGGAGGCAGTTCTTGTGAAGAGGGGTTGTAGAGGGTGGCAGGGATGGAGAGGAGCGAGGGTAAGCGGGAGGGGGCTTTTGGGGGACCTGCAGCAGAGGAGGGCAGGAAGCTCTGTGTGGGCCATCTCCCATCTCCCTGTCTGCAGGCAATGCTGTTCTGTCAGATTCACATGCACAGTGCAGGGTAAGGAGTGGTGAGAGGTGAGGCTGGAGAGGAACCAGGTGACAAAACGTCTTATAAATCAGGCTTAGAAAGCTGGATTTAGGCTGGGCATGGTGGCTCATGCCTGTAAGCCCAGCACTTTGGGAGGCTGAGGTGGGCGGATCACTTGAGGTCAGGAGTTCGAGTCCAGCCTGGCCAAACATGGTCAAACCCTGTTTCTACTAAAAATACAAAAATTAGCCGGAAATTGCTTGAACCCAGGACGCAGAGGTTGCAGTGAGCCGAGACTGTGCCACTGCACTCCAGCCTGGGCAACAGAGTGAGACTCTGTCTCAAAAAAAAAAAAAAAAAAAAAAAAGAAAGATGGACTTAAACCTGAGGATTAAAAGAGTGACAACAATGATGGCATTTAAGGAAGAGAATGACACAATTAGATTTCTGTTTTGCATCATTTTGGTGGCAACGGTAGAAGATGGAGAAGAGAGTGTGGGAGCCGGGAGCCAGAAGACCAGTTAGATGTTTACTGCAATGATCCAAGTAAGAAGTGTCAAAGATCACAGGGCTGTCCAGCCTGGCACGGATCCAGGGGGCACTTATGTCAATCAATGTAATCTATGTAAATGGTGTCCCCTGGAATTGGGCAACATGAAAGCCCTAACCTCAAAAGCATCATTTGGCAGTGAGGCTGAAGAAGAGGATGTAGATCTGAGAGATATTATTCATTCATTCATTCATTCAAATAGGTACAGAGCCCGGCATGGTGGCTCATGCCTATAATCCCAGCACTTTGGGAGGCCAAGCAGGTGAAGGTAGCTTGAGCCCAGAAGTTTGAGACCAGCCTGGTCAACAGAGCAAGACCTCCATCTCTACAAAAATTAAAACAACCCAAATAGGTGCAGAATGTCTACCATGTGCCAGGCAGCACTGTTTTGATGCTTTGGACACAGCAGAGAAGGGGAGAGAAATTGCTCGCAGCATCTTGTTCTCAACGCTGCCTGTGGGTTACTGGTCACTCTGCCTGTAACTGTGCATGGACCTCTCTCCCCCACTAGGCTGGAAGCTCCTTGTGCACAGAGTCTGTGTACTATTTACAACTAAATCCTCAGTCCCTGGGGCAGGAGCTGAGGAAATGTGTGCCCAGTGAATGAGAGAACAAACCTCAGCGTGTCCTGGATCTGAGAGGCAGGCGCTGCTCAGCCTCACCTGCTCTCTGCCTCCCAGCCCAGTCTCTGCAGGCAGAAACTGGGTCCATTCTTGCTGGACACAGATAAAATTCTTTATTGGGCTCAGGGCATGGCCGGAGGCAGCTCGAGCCTCTCGGAATGCAGTGAGGACTGCGTGGAATCCTGGTCTGCTCCCACCTTCCCCCAGTGGCCATTCTGAGTGGCCAGCAAAGTATAAGGTTCTAGGATACTCAAGTCACTCCCTCCAGGTAGGGCTGGGATGGGGGAGGCCAAGATGAGGGAAGAGGTGAGCATCCCTGAATAATGCATCCTGGCCTGAAATGGCGCTTTGTTTAACTGGAACTACCTAGAGACTGTGTAACCATAGCAACTACAAGTCGATATTTTAAAAGTTAAAAATAAGTCATGACATCTTACATGTTGTTGGAGATGCTGATGGCAAAGCTGCTTTTTAAAAGCCTTGCTACTCTACAAACTGAATTGGAGCAGGTTTATGCGGATTCACTTTTAATAAGGGCCTGGGGTCAGAACTTGGCAAGGGTGGTAGGCTCATCGAAGCTTGATAAAAGTTATCTGAAAATGATACCCCAGGGCTGACAGAGGAGCATCAGGTCACCTGGTCTAACTAACCCCAAAGGAGGAAAACCCCTTTTAGACCTTCTAGGGGACTGCTCATGCCGCCTCACTTGAATACACTAAGTGACAGGGAGCTCACTCCCTGACAGAGACACTCATTCGCCTGTGGCAGTGGATGTCCCTGTTAGAGGGCTTACACACTCCACGCCGTGTAGACAGAGAGCCTGACAGCCTGACTCTGGGATCACAGAGGCCCGGGTCTGAAATTCAGCTCTGCACTTCCTAGCTGTGGGACTGTGGGTGAGCCACTTAACTTCTCTAAGCCTTAACTTCCTTTCCTTAAAATCTGCCCACTCTGAAAAGATAGAGGATATGAAAGGTGATCTTTCGGCTACCGCACTGTGGCTAGGAGCTGCTGTCATTACCACCCTTTCTCTCTGGGTTTCTAGAGGGCTCAGCACAACACGTGGCCAGGCAGGGCAAAGGACCAGAGAGTGCTGTGTGAGGAAATGAACTCGCCTCTGGCCTCACCGGGGTGGCGCTTCCCTTCAGCCAGTACACCCCAACCCTCTGTCCCACCTCCTCTAGCGATGAGTGTCCCCTCACCCCTGGAGGCCCGGCTGGGGGCTTACGCTCCTCTTCAGGGTGAGGGGGTCCCCAGGTGAAGCTGAGCCTGCCCCCATCCCTCTGGGGCAGCAAGTACTCACTGGGAAGTATGGTTTTGTACCGGTTCTTCCGCACCAGCCCAGGGATGTTGTACTCTTTGGGATCCACGAAGTTCATGGGGATTTCCTGTGGAAGGAGAACACGGGGTGTGAGCAGCTATAGGCCCTCACAGATGTTTGAATCCAGGGGCTGCTGTGCCCCCAACTCCTAGCCCAGGGGCTGGCTTGAGTGCACACATTCATTCAACAAACATTTACTATTAAGAGAGTTAGTGCTCACGAAGCATTCAGAACAGTGCCTGGCACATGCCGAGTGCGTAATAAATATTATAATGACTGTTGTTTTTGGAGAGCCAGCCTGGTATACATAGTCAATAAATAGCTGATGAATGAAGAAAAAGACAAAAAGTGACCTGGCAAATCGCTGCCTTCCTCCACGCTCCCTGGGTAGCATTCCTTCCCTGGGCATCCCTATCTCGGGGACCTGGGTTCATGCTGCTAGCTCTGTGCTAACACCCACTCCATCCTCATCTCATGTGCCGCCTCCTCTGAGAAGCCTTCCCTGATTCTCCAGCAGGAGAGAAGCCTCTTTCTGAGATCCCAGGAGTATTTGCAGGTCCCAACCACTGTCTGTGTCCAGAGCTCTGAGTCTGAACTTCTCTCCTGGCACGTGAGGGCTTCTCGAATCTGGCCTCTCTTTACTTCCAGTTAGGCCTGTTTCTCCCCTGTTGTTAATCTGCTGTTCTCAGTCCTGCCTCTGGGTCTGAGCTTGTGATGTTCTGCCTCCTGAGGGCACTGGTCTCCCCTGACCCTCATCTCTCCAAGTTGTTCCCACCCTTTAAAGTTCACCTCTGCCTGGGCGCGGCGGCTCATGCCTGTAATCTCAGCACTTTAGGAGGCTGAGGCAGGCGGATCACGAAGTCAGGAGTTTGAGAGCAGCCTAGCCAACATGTTGAAACCCCATCTCTAATAAAAATACAAAAATTAGCCAGGCATGGTGGCAGGCCCCTATAATCCCAGCTACTAGGGAGGCTGAGGCAGGAGAATCGCTTGGAACTAGAAGGCGGAGGTGGCAGTGAGACAAGATCGCGCCACTGCACTCCAGCCTGGGCAACAAGAGTGAAACTCTATCTCAAAAAAAAAAAAAAAAAAAGAAAAGAAAAGAAACCTTCACCTCCAAGTCTGTCTCTTCCTGACATCCTCTGGGATGACTCTCCATGCCTCTTGCCTCTGCATTTCCTTCCAGTCTGCCCACCAGCTTAGTCCCTGACTGCACCCAGCTTCACATTGTTTCATTGTTTTTGCACACACTAAGTATGGGCTTTGTAAAATGAGGATCATAACGCTTTCCAGGGTTGTGAAGATCAAAAGAGAAATACAACATGAGAAAAACTGCCCCCAGAGTGGGTGCTCAGGCCGCGCTCCTTCCTCGACAATGACCCATCGAACAGGAAATGAGGTAGAGGGTGTGATTCTTTCTCGAAGGGGAGATGACGGCCGTGGGAGCTCAGAGCAGGAGCTGAGGCTGGGGTGGTCGAGGAAGGCTTTCTAGAGGCATCTGGAGTGGGTGATGATGTGAGCAAAGGCATGGCAGGAGAAAGGCACAGGTGGAGCTGGCCCAGTTGGAAGCGGACCATCCCTGCAGGGGTGGGGCATGGGGCGTAAGGCTGGAAAAGGAGGCTGGGGCCACACCAGGTGAGGTGTGCTGATGGTGTATGCAGGTGGTACCAAGTTCTGGAGAACTTGGAGCAGCAGATCAGATGGTGATGGAGGTCTTCTCACAGGGGAGAGCTACCCGGTCCAGACAGGCCCAGGGCGGAGGCCAAAGGAAGGGAGCTGTGAGGGGGGAGGCGCCTGCTTCCGTACCCCTCTGGCTTCTACCAGGAGGAACTCGCCCCCGATATTCTCGGTCTCTCGCCTCTTCCTGCTCACAGAAGTGAGGAGTTACCTGTTCGGTGAATTTGGTCGAGGAATGGAGCTTTTGAATCTCAGCCCCTTCCTTCCTCCTCCTCTCAGGGCCCTCCTGCCAGGAAAGAATTATAGGGGTGCTCCCATGGGGCAAGGTCCGAGATATGCTGGCACCCCTGTGGAGGGTGGAAAGTGCGTCTAATTCTGGGTCTCGGTATCGGGAGGCTCACTCTTGCTATACCCTGCGCTAAGCCTCATTTCCAACCTGTATTTTATTGACAACAAAGGTGATATTGTGATCTCCTATGCCTTAGCTCTTAATGGCTGAGCACTCAGGCAGGTAGACAGGGGTGCCATTTATCGAGCCCCTCAAAGTCCAATAGGAGGCAGCTGCAAAAGCCAGGGTGGAGGTGATTAGGACCTAAGCTAGGGCCCCAGGGGTGATAAGGAGGGGAGGCGACTAGAGAGATTTCAAAGGCAGAAGAACAATGCTTGGCAGGAGGAAAGTGGAAAAACAGAAGAGTTAGAAGCGAAGGTTCTCTGTGGCTTTCAAAGCACAGCACTGGGCAATAAAGATTTCGCCTTGTCACTGTACCTCCATCACCTGGCTAGGTGCTCTGCACATGTTCCTAGTCTCTTTAACCTTTCAACAATCCTATTATTTTCATCCCCATTTTCCAGATGAGGAAACTGAAGCTCAGAGGGAAAGCAGCTTGCCCAAGACGGTGGGAGAGCTGAAGATAAAGTGGTACTAATCTACGGCAGATGCCGAGTTCCAGGCACCACGCTCCACCACCTGGGTAGGTGGATGGTTGACATGGGTCTGCACACAGTGGGGCAGCCGGCTCAAGGGAACTCACAAAGAATTCCGCCTGCAGCAGGAAAGGGTCCAGGGCCTTTTCGTGAAGCTCTTCTGCTTGGAGGACACGGGAGGCGCTGAGCAGGTACTCGCGGGCGGACTCCTCACGGGGGGACATGAGGTAGCCAAAGCCCTCCTCGTTGCAGCCCGGAGTGCACATGTCCAGGGTCAGCGAGACATTGGAGCCTCTCCTGGAAAGACCAGGAAAGAGAGTGTGAGTCTCAGAGGCACAGGGGGCAGGCATGAGCTGGGGTCTTCAGGGCTGGGAAAATGAGGGAGGGAGAGATCAGCTGGGAACAGGGTGGGATCAAGGAAGAGGAGTGGGAGTGTGACAAACCCCCCATCAAAGCAGCATGAATCTCAGCCCCGAGGCATCAGCCTGACTCCCTATCTCCTACCTCCTGCAGTGGAGATGTTAACTTAGTGGCGGTTTGGAGCTCCTGTTCTAAAAGCTCCATCCAAAGCTAACCCAACATGGCCTTACCCTGGACTCTCCTCCATCACCACTGGAGGCAGTTCTGCCCTGTGGTCCCCAGGAAGCTCAGAGAGGGGACACCTCCCTGAAGCACAGAAGCAGGGCTTGGGCCCGAGAGGATGGCTCCAGACCCTCCCCACTGCAGGCCTGGGCCCAGCAGTCCTGGGATGAGGCTGCTGGTGAGTCAAGGACATATTGTCCAGGAGAGGCCAGGACCCTTAGCTGTCAGGAAGGAGGGAGTCCCAGGAGCAAGGTGGCCGCAAGGATGTCTACAATGGGCAAACTCTACTACACTCAGTGTCTCAGACCACAGGACAGGATGGGACCTCATTACACAGAGGGGGAAACTGAGTCCCCATGAAGGGCCAAGAGTTGTCCAGGCTTTCCCAGTAAGGGGGTGGCAGAGCTGAAACAAAAAGCTAGGTTTCTCGACTCCACACCCAGTGTTCATTCCATGACATTACATGGGTAACTCAAATGTGGTGTGATCTGGCTTATCCACCTAGACTCTGAAAAGACGGTGTCTACACTTCTCAGAGTGTGCTCTGTGGAACACTATGAGCTACCCTATAAAAACAGGGTTCTAACTGGGTACTCAGGGACATAAAGACGGCAATAATAGAAACTGGGGACTACTAGAGGAGGGAGGGAGAGAGGCGGGCAAGGGTTGGAAAACTAACTGCTGGGTACTATGCTCCGTACCTGGGTGATGGGAGCATGTGTACCCCAAACCTTGGCATCATGCAACATGCTCAGGTAACAACACTGCACATGTACCCCCTCAATCCAAAATAAAAGTAAAAAAAAAAAAAAATAGAGTTCTGTGGTCAAGTGACTTTGGGAAATGCCACATACTGCCCCCTTGCTGATTTCCAATGAACACATGTTAAAGGCTCTGACAAGTCCTGCAGCAAAGAAAACCACCCAAACTTACTTGAGCATGGGAGAGTGTGTGAACATGTGTATACCTATATGTGTGTGTGCAGTGACAGCATTTCTCAGCATTCATTTTGGGGCGCTTTGATCTCTATGAATGACCTGGAGAGCACGTGTCTACACTGGCTAAGCTATGAGGCCAGCTCTGCCCTGGGCACTGGGAGTCAGAGTCAGGCATCCACTCTTCTGATCAGGAGCTAAGAGCTCGAGGGCCCGTGGAGCCCACCCCTCCTCCACCCCTCCCACCTCTCCTGCAGACCCATGGACTTGACGGTGAGCGAGGCGGGGTCGGCCTCAGGCTTGATGTCCATCACACAATCAAACACAGGAGTCTCGGGCACCGGGTCCAGGTCCAGGAAGTCATCTTCAACTTTCTCCTCCATCCACTCAGAGTAGGTGAAGGAGGGCTGGCGGCTCACTGACTGGCGCCTGTCCTCAGGGGGCAGTGGGGTGGGTGGCTCTGGGGGTGTCCTCAGGAGGTGCCACACCTAGTTGGGGTATACAGCATCACGGATCTGGGACCATGCTGGCTGCCCGCCGTGTTCCTGGAGCGCAAATGGGATTGACACCCCCGCACTCCCTCAGTGTGTCTCGAGCAGCCCTGCTCTCCTGGGAGTTGTCCACAAGGCACTGTCCCGGCCTCAGTGGGAGGCTCCATGCCCACTCTCCCTCCGCACCCCTCCCTCTCCCAGCTGTTTCTTGGTTCAGGCCTTCTCAGTGGGGCTTCAGAGTTCCTACACCAGCCTTCTCCCTGTCTCACCCCTTTTCCTTAGCCCAGATCACTGCAAACCAATTTTCAGAAAGGAGGAAGTTCTTGCCCCAGGCTGGCACACTTGTGCAAACAGATAGGCATCCCTCCTTGCCCCACCCAGAACGTCCAGCCTGTAGGTCAGATGGGAGCTGGTAGAAATCCGGGCCTCAAGGTCAGAGGAGGACAGCCTTGAGGCTGGGTTCAGGAGGCACCTTACCAGCGTGGTAACGAGGACCAGGCCCATGGACAGAGAGACCAGCAGCAGACTGGGGACTCCCCAGGTCCCAGAGTCAAGCCAGGCCTGGGGAACATCAGATAAACAGGTCAGGGTGGTGGTGGGGGCAGAGTTCTCAGCTCTTGCAATGATGACAAAACCAAGGTCTGGGGTGGGGAGCAGGCAGAAGAACTTTAGGGGCTTGGAAGTATCTCCCGAACTCAGAGAAGGCCCATCCGGAGGTTGGGGATGGTGGGACTAGAGGCCCCCAACAGATCCCTGCTACCCCAGGACTCCCCAAAGCTTACTCACCGTGGGTCCCAGCTGTTTCAGGAGCGTCAGCAAAGAGGAGACGAGGTTTGTGGCGTTCTGTGCCCAGACGTGGCCATAGCCGCTGAACCAGAGCACCCCGCAGGCAAGCTGGGGCACAGGGGAGCAGGCTAAGTATGGAGCCAGCCCCCTTCCCCCATGTTCCCCCAGCAGAGCTCACCTGCAGCCTCAACCTGGCCCTGCATGGAGGCTCCTGAACCTCTAAGGTCCAGACTGGGCAGCTGAGAGCAGGGCCCCGGTGCTGTGTGCCCAGGGGAGGCCTCAGGACTCTCCTTGGAGAAAAGCTGACTGAAGGGAACCAAGAGAAAGCCCTTTCCAGAGAGGACCTCACAAATATGTACATCAAAAGGGAAGTCTCCCAGAAAGGCCTCCACAGACAGGAGTTCTCAGGAGAACCCTGCAGGGCTGGGAGGTCAGGGGTCGGGGAGGCCCCGTGTTCCCGTTTCTTAGGTTAGGGAGGCAGGGTGTGAGGTCTCAGCTGCTGATGCGGTAGCTCAGAATTCCAGCCTTCCCCTCATCCCATCCTTGAGGGCTTGGAGCTCCTGAGGAACACCAGGGAGGCCGCTCATCCTCCTGCCTTCCAGGGGGCCATCTGGGAGGAAGTGGGAGGCTGGCCCTTCGCCCACCTCTCTCCAGGCCCTGGTGAGGCCTGTGCCGTCCTTACCAGGAACTGTGAGGCAGCAAACAGGCACAGGCTGCTCCTGACAGTGAGGGAGTGGCTCCCGGCACCTCGAGGCGGTGGCTTCTGAGCTGGATCTGAGGGCGGCGAGGGAGGAGGGGGTGGCGGCATCTCTCTCCGTGAGTCCTGGAGCCCTTCGGCCTCGTCCAGGGCCTCCATCACTATCGGCTGGGGGAGACCTGTGGAAGATGGGCCATGCGGGCCGATGACTCTGGCCCTGTCCACAGGCAGGGCTCTGCCACCCCAGGGCGGACCGTTCCTTTTGGGGTGGCTGTGGCTGCCTCTCAATCTGGGATCAGTCAGCGTGGCTCCACTTCCAGCAGTCACCCTCGATTAGCAAAGCAATATTCACCTACCTTCGTCAGAAAGAGCTAAGTGTGGGTGGACAAATTATTTCTCTTTTATTTCTCCAGTAACAGAGTTAAAATGGCAGGAGGTTTTTCAGGGAGTTAATATAGTTGTATTTACGCAGCTTCATTCTTTTCCATTTCTTAAGGAAACAAAAAACAACCACCTCAAACTCAATTAAAAAAGAAGCAGCAGCAGGAAAAAAAAAAAAAAAAAAAAAAAGGCACGGCATAACCAGGCCATGACCCTGAGCAACCCACCCACGCCTGCCTTGTGGATTTTTGTCTCGTGTGGGCCATGCCCCGACTGGGGCTGGAGGCCGGACTCTTGACAAGACCACAGCCACATGCCCCCACCCCATCTCAAGACTCCCTGCACACTGAGAGGGGCTGGGGGCAGTTAGGGCGAAGTGTAGGAAAACCTTGGTGTAGCAGAATTGATACCAGATGTCTGGGGCCACTTCTGGGTCTGTCCCTGTTGACTCCGGAGAGTCACCCCCTCTCTGGGTCTTAAGTTTCCCCACCTGGAAGATGGGGTTTGGGTTCAACCCTAGTTTTTCTAACTGTGCTTTACAGAGCCCTAGTGTTTTCTCAGGTGCACAGGGGCTGAGGCCCTACGTCTGCTCCTCAAGGGCAGACGCTCTGCCTGTCCCTGTACCATATACTGGATTTCCGCTAAGATTATTTCAAGGCAGACTTCTACCACTAAAGAGTCTGCAAACCATTGGCTGAGATTTGAGCCCCTGGCTACAGCATGGGGATTCTGGCTGCAGTCACCTCAGTGAGTCCCAGATATTGGAGGTCTGCACCCAAACTCACAGGATTTAGTTTACTGTCAAGAAGAGAGGGACCAAAACATGGATGTATACAGTTTGACAGCTGGGAAGGGGCTGTCTACATATCATGTTGTATATGGGACAATGGACTTGGGTGACAACAGAACCATGTAGGCCCAACACAGCTATTTGTCCATGAGCTGCTCGCTCACTTGACAAACATTTACTGAGCATCTCCCATAGCCTGGATCAAGACTGTGGTGCAGGGAACCCGGTCCTGGGGCTACGTTTGTAGCACAGGCTCCCACTTCCCAGCCTGACCCCTTTCACCTGCACTCCTTGCAGTTCCTCAGGTAAACCCGCCCCCTATGCTTTGACATGCTATTCCCTCTGCCTGGAACATCCCTCCAACACCCTGCTCCCCTCCCCTGCCGCCCACACACTTTGCCAAGATAACACCTATTCATCTTGTAGACCTCAATCAGATGTCCCCTGAAGTAGGTCCTGCTGTATCACATATGAGCACCCCACACCTCTCCTTCATATCATCATCATCATCATCATCATCAGCAGCAGCAGCAGCAATATGCCTGGAACGTGCAGGGGGCCCTTCTTTGTGTGCCTCACATGGGTTAATCTCTTTATTCTTCACAGCACCCCTATGGAGCTGCTACTACTATTATCCCCATTTTACAGAAGAGGAAGATGCGGTGCAGAGAGGTTAACAGAGCTGCCCAAGGTCGCCTAGCTGGTAAGGGTAGAGGGTGGCTTCAATCCAGGGCAGTCAGATAGGCTTCAGGCTACATTACATTTGCTATGGGCTGTAAAATAATCTTTGAATATCATCTTCCTCTACCCACCAAGAAGTTCCATGAGGGCAGAGTGGTATCAGCTTTGTTCATCCTGATGTCTACAGCATGTAGCATAAGTCCTGGTGTGTAAGGCTACAATCAATGTTTACTAAATGAGTGAATGATGACGGGCAAATGACTCTTTTACTCAGTTTTTTTGCCTGATAAACGGAGATAATACATACTTTGAAAAGCTGTGTGTGTGTGTATATATATATATTTTACGTATTTATTTATTTATTTTTTTGAGAGACGGAGTCTTACTCGGTCGCCCAGGCTGCAGGGCAATGGCGTGATCTCAGCTTACTGCAAACTCCACCTCCTGGGTTCAAACAATTCTCCTGCCTCAGCCTCCTGAGTAGCTGGGATTGCAGGTGTGTGCCACCATGCCTGGCTAATTTTTGTATTTTTAGTAGAGACAGGGTTTCACCATGTTGGCCAGGCTGGTCTTGAACACCTGACCTCAGGTGATCCACCCACCTTGGCCTCCCAAAGTGCTGGGATTACAGGCGTGAGCCACTGCGCCCGGCAGCTGTTATAAATATTTTAGATACTACAGATGAAACACCTAGCACAATGTTCAGCATTTAGTAAGAACCCAATAGATGGCAGATTATAATGCTAACACATAATTCTTGCCTTCAAAAGGCTCCAGTCTCATGGCTAAAACAGACCAGTAAAGACATGTTTACAATACAGTGCATTAAGCAATAAATCTAAGTGCCAATGGAGTCTAAGAGGGTCATGGGAGGGCATCTACCTTTGTCCATGGAGGTTCTAGTTCCTGAGCTGTCAGCTCAGATTCTGGGAGCAAGGTGAAAAAGGAAAAGCTGCTGCTAAAAGAAGGATCACGTGGGAAGGCAAGAGTTGCTACTATTGATAAGCAGGGGGTTGATTTCTCAAGGGGCAAGGTCTCTGCCCACACACAGTTGACAGGTGATGCCAAATATGGAATGGTGGAAAGGGACAGACCCAGGGGTTACCTGGCTTCTGTGCCTTGGTTCTGCAGAGCACATACTTGGACCTTGGGCAAGCCCTTCTTCTCCCTGGGTCTCAGTTTCCTTATCTGTAAAAACAAGGGCTTGAACTAGAATTCAGCGCTTCTTAGATGTTTCTGCAAACCTCAGAGGAGAGGGAATATGGAACTATGGGGAATAACATGATCTTGGACTTGGCTGCATTTTTTTTTTTTTTTTTTTTTTGAGACAGAGTCTTGCTCTGTCACCCAGGCTGGAGTGCAGTGGCGTGATCTCGGCTCACTGCAACTTCCACCTCCTGGGTTCAAGCGATTCTTCTGCCTCAGCCTCCCAAGTAGCTGGAACTACAGGCACAAGCCACTGCACACCTGGCTAATTTTTGTATTTTTAGTAGAGACGGGGTTTCACCATGTTGGCCAGGCTGGTCTTGAATGCCTGACCTCAGGTGATCTGCCTGCCTCAGCCTCCCAAAGTGCTGGGATTACAGGTGTGAGCCACCGCGTCTGACCTGTATTAAGACATATGGGTGTTCTGCATTCTACACTACGATATATTTGTACTCGTTTTGATTTGAAAATAATGTGTTTTATTTCCCTCTCCTAAAGCTCTGAATCACAAATTTTGCTTCAGGAAGATCTGTGACATTTATCCTGTGGCTTTGCCCTCAGGGGTACATGCACCCCAGTCTGAGAAGCATGGAATTTGTCTGCAATAAAACATCATGCAGCCATTATAAATGACTCTGCTGATGAATATTTGATAACATGCTAAAAAATCTGATGGTATGGACTAAGAAAGGCAAGGTTACAAAACAGTATAATCTCACTGGCCTTAAAAATTAAGAAAGTATAAACATGTCTGTAAAAAGATAGCAAATACCTGATGTGAGATTAGAGGTTCACATGAGGTAGAGATCATACAGTATGGAACAGTGAACTCTTGGCACACAGTAAATGCTTAATAAATGTTGTACACAGTAAATGGGAAGACTAAAGCCAGGTATTAACACCGGTTCTTTGGGGGTGGGGTGAAATTAGAGGTGATTTTATTTATATATCCTACATTTCCTCTAATAAATATGTATGTGTGTGCATACATACACAGACACATGCACACATGTATTTGTAGTGAGAAAAATATTTTTTTCAAAAAGATCAAAGTTCTGAGTTGATATCATGAAGCCTAGTTAGGATTCTCAGGTTTCAGGCCTCGACTCCCACCTGTCACATCTAAATGCATACGCTGGGATGTAAGAGATTGACAGAGTATGCGTGGCTCTGCGAGACCCACCCAGCAGCAGAACAGCCACTCCGGAGGCAGGTCCCCGGGATAATGTGTGATCATCACTTTTGCATATGAAAGATAGGTTAACTGCCTTGCACATTATGGAGGTGGTAGGAAAAATTGCAGGCTCACAGGGCCCTAGATGTGGATCTCAGAGAGTGGGAGGCTTACAATTTTTTTAAGTCTACTGGTCACCTGGCAGCCCTGGGGACCAGATACATCCAACTGATGGCTATTTACGGGGCGCCTGGTAGATGTACATCTTTCAGAGCAGAGTTTATTTAGTATTTTTCTGGGTAGAAATCTGACTTTTTTTTAATTCAGCAAGATATGTTTCAAACACACACTATATTCTACACGTTAATTTTTGGAGAGATGCATGGACCTCAGGTTAAGAGCCCCTGATCTCAGGGGTGGGCAGTGGGTGTCTGTGATGGAAATTGGTGTTAGTTTCAAAGATGGAGAACTGGGCTAGGAGCCTGCCACTCTGGTTTTAGTCTCTGCCGATTTGTGCATGAGTCCAACACACATTTACTGAGCACCGATATACGTCAAGCACTGGGAACACGAAGATTCAATGTCATACAATTCAGAAAAGTATTTACTGGGGGCCTACTTTGTCAAGCACTGGGCTAGGCTCTGGGGATACAGCAGTGAAGGAAAGAGCCCCCACTTGCACAGACCGCTGTGGTCCTAGGCCTGTTTGTTTTTTTGGACTCTGTTCTGCTCCTAGAGATGATGTCAGCTCTTATCCTTTCCCTGCCCTCTCCTTCACTCACTATCTTGTTGTGGGAATAATACCACCTCACTGGGCTGGCTCTCTGCAGTTCCCAAAGTGCCTCTGCACACGCAATTGCATTTGCCTCTTTCGACAGCCCTATGAGGTAGACATGATCATCATCAGCCCTGTTTTGTCAGTGAGAGGCGGCTGCTTGTGTCAAGGG